TACACATAAACTTCGTCGCGTCAACTCCCCACACAACTTAACAAAACGACGTCGTTTTGGGCGGGGCGAGACGTATAATGCATTGTGTGTCCTAGTGCACGATATAACAATTGCACAAATGGGGCAAATTATTGTGTGGATCGTGATGTGTGGACCACGGTCTAAAATATCGTCGTGAATATTATAAGTGAAAATAATGTACATTATGTTAGAATAATGTAAATTACGTGTTAGAATAATGTACATTATGTGTTAAAATAATGTACATTATGTGTTAAAATAATATACATTACGTGTTAGAATAATGAAACATCTGAGGTAATATAATGTACATTATGTTTTAAAATAATGTACATTATGCTTTAGAATAATGTGCATTATATTTTAGAATAATGTACATTATGAGTTATAAAAATGTATGTTGCAGCTGGACGCGCGAAAAAATAAAATTAAACAAAACGACGTTGTTTTTGGACCGTGGTCCACCACGGTCCACACAATAACTATTGCACAAATGGATAACCGACGCGCTAATAAATTGCCAATTGTCTACAGTAGTGTAGTTCGCCAAATTTTACTGTGGATCATGGTCTATATAGCAGCTTGAACCATAAAGTATGTATCATTCTAATTAAACTTCAGATGGGATGAATCCGGGCTTTTATCAGCACTTCTGGGATGTGGGGGGGGGGGGGGGGGGGGGGGGGGTGTCTACTTTTGTTATTGACTGTCTGAATTCCCGTAGTTTCCCCCAGGTTTGTATGATACTGATGTTGTGTTGATCCCCAAAAAGAATTCCCCTGAGCATGTAACGGATTTGTGGCCTATAGCCCATGTGTAACGTGGTTTATAAAGTCATGGCTAAGGTAATTTGCTAACAGAATGAAACCGTTGATGGAAACTATTGTGTCAGATTGCCAAAGCGCTTTTATTCCTGATAGGCTTATCATGGATAATATATTGATAGTTGCAGAGGTTGGCCACTATTTGAACAGGAAGTAGTGTGGGGCGGTAGGTTGAGGTGCTCTAAAATTGGATATGTCCAAGGCTTATGATTGTATGGAGTGGTCCTTTCCTCGCAGGATGCTTTTGGCCATAGGTTTCGACTGTATGTGGGTGGATCTAATCATGCATTGTGTGACCACGGTTGCTTACAGTTTCCTAATTAATGGCTCGCACACCAGTCTTGTGATCCCTACTCGGGGACTACGTCAGGGTGTTCCTTCGTCCCCGTATATGTTTATTATTTGTGCAGAAGGGTTATCATTACCTTTACAGTAGGCACAGAATAATGGTCTTATCCACGGTTGCAGGGTGGCAAGAGGTGCCCCCCCCCCCCCCCCCTCCTATTTCTCACTTATTTTTTGCTGATGATAGTCTCCTTTTCTTTAAAGCCAATTTACAGGAAGCAGGGGAGGTCAAACGTTGTTTATCTACTTATGAGATGCTATCTGGCCAAAGGGTCAATTATCATAAGTCCAGCATTTGTTTTAGCAAGAATACTCGGGAAGAGGATAGGGAGGATGTTGCGCAGGCTCTAGGGGTGGTTAGGGCTCCTAACTTTGGAAAGTATTTGGGCTTTCCCTCCTTTTTGGGAAGGAAGAAGAAGGCTGTTTTTGCTTATATTGAGGACAAGATAAGGCAAAGAATTGGTTCGTGGAATAAAAATCTCATATCGCAGGCTGGTAAGGAAATTATATTGAAAAGTGTAGCTCAATCTATGTCTACCTTCTCAATAAGTATTTTTTTGCTTCCTGTGTTTGTTTGCACTTCTATTGTGCGTACTATGAATCGTTATTGGTGGGGTTCTGGAAATGATTGTGGTATACATTGGAAAGCTTGTGACAGGTTATGTATGCCTAAAAAGTTTGGAGGGCTGGGTTTTAAGGACCCGCGTGCATTTAATTTGGCTATGTTAGGGAAGCTGGCGCTTCCTTACCAAACCTGACTCATTGGTAGCACGGGTGTATAAAGCTAGGTATTTTCCTAAATGATCATTCTTTGAAGCATGTTTAGGAAATAATCCTAGTTTCTGTTGGCGCAGTATTATGGCTGCCCATGGCCTAGCTTGCAGTGGTGTAAGGCGCAGGATTGGGAACGGGAATTCGACTCTCAATTGGGGGCATCCCTGGCTTCTCGATGGCGAGAACCCTATGATTCATACTAAGATGCCTCCTCAACTGGCTGCCTCGTGTGTGGTTGGTTTGATTGATCAGGTTACAGGTACTTGGGATCACTCTATTTTGACTTATATTTTTGAAGATGACGATGTGAATCGTATCTCGAAAATTCCTATTTCACCGGAGTATGAGGATTCTTGGTACTGGTATGAGGATCCCAAGGGTTGCTACTCTGTTAAGAATGGCTACAAAACCGTTGTTGGAAATTTTGTTGGTAATGTGGGCTCTTTTGATAATTGGTCTACATTATGGACACTAAAAATCCCCCCAAAATGAAAGACCGTTTTGTGGAGAGCTTTAAGTGATATCCTCCCAACCACAAACAACTTGCTTTTAAAGAGAGTGGAGGTGGATCTTATCTATTTGTTCCATGTGTAGAATTGATCATGAGGATACCATGCATGCCTTGGTGACGTGTGGCTTTGCTAGTTCCATTTGGACAAAATCCAACCTTCCAATTCCCAACCCCACAACAAATGTTTTTCATACTTGGTTTGGAATGGTCTTGAATACTCTAACCAAATGATATTCGTAGCTGCAATTTTGTAAAACATTTGGAGAGCCCGCAACAGTGCGGTTTGGGACTGCTTACTGCCAACACCGAAGAAACTCATTGCGGCGTCCGTTGTTACTGTTCACACATGGCAAGATACCCAGCTGCATGCCGCTGCCCAGCCCATCACGGTCTAGCAGACTGCACAGCATGCTACTACAGCTGTTCGGCGGTGCTGGTTCGATGTGGGCTTTTGACTGTCTACGAACCGTGCCACGGCAGGCTATATGCTTCTCGACAACGACGGCTCCTTTATTGCGGTGTTCAATAGCCCCCTCCCAGTTTGTTTCTCCCCCTTGATGGGTGAGGCCCTTGCATGCAAGGAGGCGTTATCCTTGCTAAGAGGCCGTGGCGAACAGGCGATCGAGCTCCACACAGATTACTCATTGCTGCAGCATTATTTAGCCGCGCCTACAGGTTCCATCCGTTCCTACACCGGCTATGTTATTGACGACTGCAGATCCATTATTCCATAGTTTGCGCATTGCTTAGTTAAATTTGTTCCTAGATCAGCTAATTTAATAGTTCATACTCATGCTTCTTTAGCTTCAGCTCAGTCTTCTGCATTGTACTGGGATTCTATCCCGCCAGACGCTATTGTTGGTTTTCTCTAATATATGCCCCAGTTGGTTGCTTTCGAAAAAAAAAAAAAAAAAACTTCAGTTTTATTTTACAATATTGCTTTGTTTTTCAGTTTCATTTTTCACACACACTAATTTCATTATAGCAATACCAAAGTATTATTTTAATTCTAGTACAGTTTCATTTAACAATATACATTATTGCATGAGCGTTATTTTTTAGTTTCATTTTTCATACACTAGTTTAATTATAGCAATGTTGAAGTATTATTTTAATTTTACTTCATGTTCATTTGACAATATATGTTATTGTATTACTATGGACTTTAGTTTCATTTTCCACATACACTAGTTTCATTATAACATCAAAGTAATATTTTAGTTATACTACAATTTCATTTGAGAATATACGTTATTGATTGAGCTCTGTTTTTCAGTTTCATTATCCACACACAGTAATTTCATTATGGTAATATTAAAATATTATTTCAATTATACTACAGTTTCATTCGACACTCGCCGTCCATTGTATAACAGTTGTGTTTAGTTGGTATTGAGATGATAAATTATGATTGAGAGACCTGATAGCCGCATGAGCGACTTATACTAGTTTACCACCTTGAGGTCTTATGCCGGATAGGGTCACAATGTATTATTCAAACATTACAAACTTTTGAATAGTTTGTATAGGTTTTGCGTAAATCAAAATAAATTATTTCACCATTTAGTAGAAATTTATGTTTGTACTTCAATCAAGCCATCTAGGTGGATTTTTTTTTTTGAACATAAACTGGCAAACTTCATTAAAACCGTAATAAATCGGAAATACAACTCGGTGGGATCTGGATCCACACCTCCGAGCCAGCTAAAGAACCAGTCGCCCGAGCGAGTTCGTGAGCTACGCGATTCGCTAATCTCCTGACATGGGCTATACATACATTCCCTATGTCACTAGCAATCACCCGACATTGCTTCACAATCAGACCAACATAAGAAAAATCAACAGACTGGGAATTAAAAGCGTTACAGAAATTTAAACAATCATATTCTAGGATTATATTATTCAGTCTTTGTTCCTTCAACCAAGTCAGTGCTTCTTTAGCCGTAAGAGCTTCGGCCACATATGGATCATGCTCATCGACCAGAAGCCCCCTCTTTGCCGCCACAAAACAACCCAGGTGGTCGCGGACAACCAGGCCAAAGCTAGCCCCACTCTCAGCAATGGCTGCGTCTACATTGCACTTCAACGAACCTGCTGGCGGTGATGTCCATTGCTCATGGGTCCTGGTCCTCTCCATTACGCTCCTCGCCTGAAGTAAGCCGCACTCCAAGCAACACGAAGCTGATTCATCATGTGTTGCGACATGGTAATAGATGGAACCGTATTATGCCATACTGCGTCATTACTTGCGCGCCATATTGTCCATAAAACTGAGGCCATTTTCACTGCATCATCAGCCCCTTGAGTGCCCAGAATGTGGTCCATGAATGCGATGAACCCCCTGCCCTGTAGCACATTATCGGTCTCCCATAGCTGCTTCGCAAAGTCGCACTCACAGAAGAGATGCGCCATTGATTCCGTAGCATAGCCACAGATTGGGCAACCTCCTCCAATCCACACCCTTTTCAGTCGCAAATTGTCCCGTACCGGTAGCACGTCACGAGCACATCGCCACAGAAAATTTCTCACTTGGGTGGAGTCTGTGCTGCCCATAATGTTTTCCATGCATGAAACGCAACATCCACTGTTGGTTGCACCCTCTCGCGAGCGAGGAGGCGGTAACCGTTCTGCACCGTGTACTTACCTCGCAAATCACCTGGCCATCTCCAGCAGTCTTTGAGGTGAGTACTCACTGGGGTGGCAAGGATCCTGGGGATGTCATCAGAGTGAAAAATATCCCGCAATATGTCACCATCCCACCGCCCATGCTCGTCAAGTAGTCCAATAACCGTCGCATGTCGCAATTCTTCCACACACAGCGTGATTAGAGGTTTGTTTGAAGCATCCGCGAGCCAGTTCCACCCCCAAATTCTCGTTTCCGTTCCATCACCAATTCGTCTGGCTAAGCCTTGCTCTAAAACAGCCCTCCCGGCCATTATACTCCGCCAAATAAAGCTGGGGTTCCCTCCTACCTGGGCCTCCATGAAATCCACGGTAGCAAAATATTTAGCCTTCAAGATACGGCTTACCAACGAGTCAGGTTGAGTTAGCAAGCGCCACCCCTGTTTGGCCAATAAAGCAATGTTAAACTCATGCAGTTTCTTGAAACCTAACCCTCCCGTCGATTTTGGTTTGCACAACCTGTCCAGGATAACCAATGTATCCCGCAACTCCCATTACCACCACCCCCCCCCCCACCAATAACGGTTGAACATCTTTTCCAGCGTGTCACAAACCCGCAAAGGCAACACAAAGATTGACATAGTAAAAATCGGAAGAGATTGTGCTATGCTTTTCAGAAGTACCTTCTTGCCTGCTCGGGACAGAAACATATGCTGCCACAACCCGATACGTGCCCGGATATTCTCTTCAATATATTTGAACACAGCCGTTTTGTTTCGCCCGAGGGCCGATGGCAGACCTAGGTAACGACCCAAGTCCGGAGCCTCTTGAACACCCACAATCCCCGTAACTAGGTCCCGAGTGGGGCCTGGTGTGTTGTGACTATAAACAGCATTGGACTTATCAAAATTGATAAGTTGCCCCGATGCCAAGCTGTAAAGATCTAAGCATTGTTTGATATTCACCGCTTCTCGTTGGTTGGCCCTGAAAAAGAGTAAACTATCGTCAGCGAAGAACAGGTGAGAGATGGCCGGTGCACCCCGGGCCACCCTCACCCCATGTATGTCACCCCAGGCCTCTGCTTGTTGCAGGAGAATCGATAGCCCTTCAGCACAAAGGATAAAGAGGTAAGGCGACAAAGGGTCGCCTTGCCTGATTCCCCGGGTAGGACGAACATGTCCCGCAGCCACACCGTTAACCAAAATGGAATAATTAACGGTGGTGACACAGAGCATTACAAGAGCAATCCAATTGCTATCAAACCCGAGGGCCCTCAGCATACCCTCCAGATAGGGTCATTCCATCCTATTGTACGCTTTAGCCATGTCTAGCTTCAGCGCAGTCCACCCTACATTTCCTCCCGTTTTCCTGCTTAGGAAGTGCCCGATCTCACCGGCTATAATAATATTATCGGTTAGGAGCCGATCAGGCACAAAGGCACTCTGAGATTGAGATACAACTTGATCCAAGCAAACCTTCAATCGGTTAACAATCATTTTAGCCAACACTTTGTACACAACGTTACAAAGGGCTATAGGCCGCAGGTCCGCAACTCGAATTGGTGTAGCCTTCTTTGGAATCAAAACAATGTTAGCATCGTTTAGACCCAGGGGAAAGGTTCTGGTTTTTACACACTTGAGTAGGAACATGGACATGTCATGTCCCAGCACTGGCCAAAAATGTTGGAAGAAGGCCGGCGACATGCCATCTGGCCCGGGCGCCTTGTCAGGGGCCATGCCAAACAGTGCCCCTTTCACTTCCATAATTGTGAAAGGCTGCGACAAAGATATTTTCATCTCGTCCGTGACCCTTTCCTGGACATGGTGAAAGAGGTCGGCATTACTAGCACCGGAGCAAAAGATAGCTTCTTAGTACCTGAGGATTTCCGTGTTCATAGCCACACCTTCCTGCCAATCGCCCTCCGGATCTTTTAGCCGTGATAGAAGATTGCGTTTGCGCCTAGCCGTTGCAGATTTATGGAAATATTTAGTGTTTGCGTCGCCGTGTTTAAGCCACAACTGCTCTCGATCTTTGTTTCCAGAAGATTTCCTCCGCAATAAGCAAAGCCTCCAATTCACCCTCCGCATTCATGAAATGTTCCACGCCCTGTACACTATGATCCTCCTTTAAACGAGCCAAGGTTCGGCGCAAAATTTGGATGCGGTTGCCAAATCGCCGATGATGTTCTCCTCCCCACCTCCATAGTCGCTCGCCACACATGGCAAGACGCTCCTGGCTCCTGGAAGTCTAAGCCCGCGGATAAGCGCCAGGCTTCGTCAACAACCTTGGCACATCCCTCCTCCAAGAGCCAAGCGGTTTCAAATTTAAAAGAACCAGAATGTGCTCTGGCAGCCCCCGGGTCAAAGCTTACCGACAGCGCACAATGATCCGAGAACACAGTGTATATATTTTGAACCACCACCTCGTCATGAAGCTCCAACCACTCCGTCGTGGCAACCGCCCTGTCCAGTCGCTCTTCCATCCACGACTCGGTACCTCGACTCTTCTCCCATGTGTACCTACCGCCTTCCATACCCAAATCAACAAGCTGACAGTCACCTAAAGCATCATTAAGCCCTTCAATAAGCGAGGTCGGATGGGAATGTGATCCTCTCTTCTCGGAAAGACATGCGATGTCGTTGAAATCGCCCACGACGACCCACGGCAGGGATGACCTGTCCTTTAGTTGCCGTAACAAGTCCCACGTAATATGACGTCGGGACCGATCCGACTCACCATAGAAGCCAGTGAGCCTCCAAGCCGGGCGATCGAGCAGAGTTATCTCCATATCAATGTGGTTGGTTGAGTAACTCATGGGCGATGCCGTATCCGCACTCCTCCAGAAGAAAGCAAGACCCCCACCTAAACCCGTATGCTCCACACCAATCTTACAATCAAAACCCATCTTCACACGTGCCTCCTCCACCTGTACATCAGTAGCCTTCGTTTCCATCAAGAAAACGAACATGGGTCGCTTTTTGGACATGATGCCCAATAGTTCGCGAACTGTCCGGGTGCCACCCATTCCCCGGCAGTTCCAGCTCAAGAAACTCATTTGTCCTGGCGAGCCTGGTCCGCCAAACCCGCCTGCTCATGATTTCTTGGTGTGTCGGTCATTTGCACATCACTACCTGTTGTAGTGTCCTCTTCTTCGCCCCTTCTACGCTTCAGGTCTCCTTGCAACCCCCCTACCTCCTCCGCATCCACCAGTACCGTCGGCGGTGGCCCTGCCGAGGGAAGAGTAGCCACAGCCGATGACATAGACGTAGCCGGTAGGAGCCACTTTGCACCTACTGGCTTTACCTGCCTTCTTAGACCGGCTCACAGCCACGCACCAAACGGGAACGCCTCCGGTAGAATCCCTTCTTCGTACACCGTTTTACAGAACTTATCTGAATGGCCCAGTATCCCGCAGCAGTAGCAAAAGGTACTCAAACGCTCGTATTTGAACATGATCCATTGCACGGATCCATCTCGCCTTGTAAGTTTCATCCGCCGCTTGAGAGGGGATGTTATGTTCATCTTCACCCTGATCCGGTAATAGCTCTTCCATGTCCACCAAAGTTAAACGGATCTGCCGTGATGAACTCTCCAACATGATCCCCTATCTTGGCTATGAAATCTTGGGAGGCAAACATGGTCGGCAGACCGTGAATCTGGACCCAAAACGGGATAGACGCCAATTCGACATCCTCTGGCCTAACGCCCATCGGAACTTGATCGCAAATCAGAAGGTTATTCTCGAAGGACCACGGTCCGTCGTCGAGAACCCGCTGGAGATCCTTCGGGTGGGGAAATTAGAACAGGAAGAGGTCATCGGCTAGCGAAACCGCATACATTCCCATGACTGGACGCCACACAGACGCTAGAACCTGCTGCATATGCTCAAAGTGTACCTGTTGATCCGTGAGAAGTCTCCCAACCAGGTTATGATGAATCGTGATATCCGGGATCGGTTGCAAATCAGGTGCCTCCAGACCGCCAGATTCTTCTTCGGCTAGGGATAGATCAGCACATTGCTTCTCGATTTGATGAATATCCATTTTAACGTAATGTATCGGAATCAATAAGAACAAAAGAATCGTAGAACAAGACAACACAACTGCGATATCCATCTGACAAACCAGCTATAAAAAGAACCCTAGAATACTAGGGAGATCACCCTCTCGACGCACGTTCGAGAGAGAGGGCCACAACGACGCCGATGATCGGCGATCACGTTCGGGATGCGATCACGATCGGAGACTGGCGACTATTATGGAGCGTTTTTTCTTTTATCTCGATGAAATTAGAGAGACTTCTTTTCCATCTAGGTGGATTAATAATTACAAAATTCTAAAATATATATATATATATATATATATATATATATATATATATATATATATATATATATATATATATATATATATATTAAAAAATAGGAGGTAACCTTCCTCAGTTCCTCATATTTTTATTTTTATTGTATATTTTAAATTTTTTAAAACTATTTTTGTCATCAACTTGAAGTACATTTTAAATATTCACTTAAATAGCCAAGTAAGTAATTTTTGCGTAAAGCTTGATGGTAATCCAAAAATAAAAATAAAACTTACACTTGTTTTTTCTTTTTTAATACTCTAATTGCACATATTTTAATTTAATGACTTAATTATACAAATAAATAAAATTGTAACTTATTTGAAGATTATTTTAAAATTTTAAAAGTAAATTTAAAAGAATAATTTTGCACGACTCAACAAACCGCGTAAGGTCATACGCATTTGACTATTCATGCATTGTAGGTAAGGTTTTAATCAATACGAATCTTGTTTGGTTTTATTTTATAGTTTTTAAAGTTTTTTTTTTTTTTTTTTTTTTTTTTTTTTTTTTGTCCCGAAAGAGTTGACAGAATAGATGAAACATAATTCTTTTATATAAAGATTTACATGTCCGATTTTTGCCAACACTATTTTAGTCAAGTATTTTCACATAAAGTCTAAGTTACATGTACGATTATTGTCAACACTCTATTAAAAAATTATGCTACGAAAAGTTTGAATTTATCTAATTTATACGTACCATCATACAGTGATCTTCATGGTTTAATTTGATGGAATCTTTAGAAATGTGTTAGCGTTAGTGTTAGTGACCAAACATCAATAACGTGAGAATCTATTAATATGATGTTATGACATTATTATTTACAAAATTTAAATATTTTTATAGTAAAAAGGACATTTTATCTTTAAAAACAATAAAAGTTGTAGACCAGATCGAAAACGAATCTAAAATTAAAAGAAAATGATCCGTACAAAACTTAAGCGCGTAAACGCGTTGCTTATCGGCCTACTTCTGTAGTAGGTGGCTTCAATGTAAAGTAATAGAAAAAGAAAAATTAAAAATTTCGAATGAAAAAGTGGATCGTGAAGTGACATAATTCTACCCCCAAGCCCCAACATGTGGGGCTAAACGCATTTTATATTTTTATATAAGTTAATTATCGAAATAGTCTCTTGACAATAACAAAATTACTAATTTAGTCTTTGATTATTTCTTTTTGATCAATTAAGTTCTAAATTTTAAAAATTTTAACTAATTTGATTTTTCGTTTGTTTGATCGTTAGTCAACCGTTAATTTGGGACCAAATTGATAATTTGCTATAGTCAAAAGACCATTTTGATAATTAACTATAAGGGTGGGCAATTCGGTTCAATTTTCTCGAACCGAACCGTACCCAAACTACGGAGTAATTAGATTCGGTAATGTACCGAACAACCAAACGGTAATAGATTCTTGTATACCGAACGGTTCGGTAAATTCTCCAACCGAACTGAATTTCTTCGGTAAAAATCGAACCGAACCGAATACCGTTTGAACTTTGAATTGCTATTTTGTTATATATTAGACTTTGAATATGGACTATGTAAACACCATAACACATAATATAGAACTTTTGATAACAAACCATAAGAAATAAATAAAACATTTACGAGAGATACCCGTAAGAATGTGAACTGAATGGCAGAGCAAGCAGTAAAGGACTTGGATTTACTTTTTATTTTTATTTATTTTATTATTTATATTATTATTATTATTTTAAAAAATCAAACAGTATTCGATTCAGTTCAATTTTTTACCGAACAATTCGGATCGATTTTTTATCGAACTGTTCGGTATACAAGAATCCAATACCGTTTGGTTGTTCGGTATATTACCGAACCAAATTAGTTCGGTTCGGTTTGGTATAGTTCAGTTCGAGAAAACTAAACCGAATTGCCCACCCCTAAAGTTAATTAC